TTAGCAAGTCATCTGCAGGGGGCTGTGACTGTCTGATGTCATATATCAGTGACAGCCCACATCGACAAATTATGAGACTAAATTGGATTTCTATAAAAAGCTGGTGGCATGAAGTCCCATGACAGATCCTTCCTGATGAGAAACGCAGAAAGGATACATGATGACATAAAAAGCGAGCTTCTCTACTACCATTTTTCTGAGTTAAACTGTGATCAGTTTGTGGCTGAAATCCTGAAACTGAATTAGAGAGCCAGGAAAGGCTCGCTGGGGTTAATTACATCTGTTTATTTCTTTTCAATTGCACAGATGTGAATTTACTAGGCTTTTATGGGGTAGACTGAAGTAGCAAGTAGAAATGAAGCCCCTGAGACTTAGGGAATCCTAACTTTGCAACACATACTTAGGAATTTTATAGAGCATCTCATGTTTTTCCTTTCCTCTCATATCTTTCAGTACCCTGGGAAAAGAAATCGTAAAAAGAACATTGTGGTTTGAAAATCTGGGTTGTGAAACAGGCAGAGGCATTCCAGCCCAGTCAATTAAGATTTTATGCCTGCCAAAGGTGGTCCTGGATGTGGTGGACTCATTAAAGAACTGCATTTGGAACCTGACAATTTCTATTGGATTGAAGATCCATACATTAGGTACATTGGTACCTAATATTAATGGGATGAGGGCATTGCCTTCTTTTATCCATGCACGCAGCCTGGTCACCCAGCCAACACCAGGCCGCATTCACTGTGAGAAGCTGTGTATGTCATCAATCCTTGAATGTGCTAGACCAGGGATGTCCAACAGGTCGATTGCGATCTATTGGTAGATCCCCGTGAGGTTTTGGTAGATCATGGTCAATCTCTGGTTCCCTTTCCTTAGTGCCGCTAAAACTGACTCCTCCCCACCCTCTTGCCCTGCTCTCCATTGTTGTTTGATCTCTGGAAGGGAAGACGGAGCTTTCTGTGCACTGCTGTTTTCATCCATAGCTGTCTATCATAGCTGTCTACCCCCCAAACCCCCCCAAACCCAGAAGTCCAGCACCCAAAGCTTTGTTTTTAACCCCTAAAAATGGGGTTTTCCTCCTCAACAACTTTGAGCTGAACCCCCCTGCCAGTTTTTATTTTGAAAGAATCTTTGGAGAGTTGTCCACCCCTGTGCTAGATAATTTCAGAGCCTATCATAGACAAAATATATTGCTAAATCCACCAAATCCATAGATTCTTTAGATTGTATATAATGCTCACTATGTGTAGTTTGCAGGTGCAATGGGACTTCCATTTCCTTTCATCCCCTAAAATCTGCTCTAAAGTATTCCATAACTCTCCAGTACTGGTTTTGGGAGTGCCTGGGTGTGAGTAGAAGAGGCAGGAGAGGAAGAGGATTCTCAGTTGCACACATAGAAGTATGTTGTCGCAGTGGAGCTGCAGAGATGGATATAGCCCCATATTTTGCTTCAAGGTTTTGGAGAGTCTGAAACTCATTTTTTTTTTATGGAGTCCACCAAATTTTTTCAGAATAGAAGCTGACACTTCCACAACACTTCAAAATGATGCTTAAAATGAAGAGGTTTATTGGGAAACCCAGAATGCCTAAGGTGTATCCATGTTTGGTAATCACCGGGAGCAAAAGGATTCTGTTAAATTTATTGCAGTAGTTACTTGAAAACATGTTTCTTCCCCCCTCCCATAGAAGGTGAAACACCAGGACGCACAGGGCCACTATATTTCCCAATAAATTTCTCAATTTCAAAACCTTCACTTGTTTTGGGGAGTTTCTTGCCTTCTAGATGCTACTCTCCCTCCCCAGTCTATTGGTGTGAGTGTCCATCTGAATAATGAATAGTATATCTGCATCACTATTTGGGTTAAGTTTCCTGCTTTCTTGAACTTTGGCACAATCTAACGGAAAGGTCTGTATAGTTAAAGCTATGGTTTTCCCAGTAGTGATGTATGGAAGTGAGAGCTGGACCATAAAGAAGGCTGATTGCCGAAGAATTGATGCTTTTGAATTATGGTGCTGGAGGAGACTCCTGAGAGTCCCATGGACTGCAAGAAGATCAAACCTATCCATTCTGAAGGAAATCAGCCCTGAGTGCTCACTGGAAGGACAGATCCTGAAGCTGAAACACCAATACGTTGGCCACCTCATGAGAAGAGAAGACTCCCTGGAAATGAACCTGATGTTGGGAAAGACGGAGGGCACAAGGAGAAGGGGACGACAGAGGACGAGATGGTTGGATAGTGTTCTCGAAGCTACCAGCATGAGTTTGACCAAACTGCGGGAGGCAGTGGAAGACAGGAGTGCCTGGCGTGCTCTGGTCCATGGGGTCACGAAGAGTCGGACACGACTAAACGACTAAACAACAACAAACAGAAAGGTTGAGCTACAGGTTTCTGGATAATTGGGAAGGTAACCAACTTGAAAGGTGTGGACTGCTCAGACACCGATTCCTTAGATGCATGTTCCATAGATGCTTATGGCAGATAAAAGAGGACGTGTGGCACACATAGAGCCATTGAATAACTTTCCTTCTTGCACATTTAATGGCAACCTGTCAAGAGGATATTAGAAGCAACAGCCAAAGAGCTTCTAAAACCCTCCAATCCCTGCAAAGCTGCATGGTGATGGATTGGCACCTCATTTCCTGAGGAGGAGTTTTGTCAGGGCAGGGAAGGTGAGTGGCAGGGGAAGAACCCAGTGACCTTCTTCAAGCTTCCAGAGAGATGGCCAGAATACCAAATGGAGCCCTGCCTCTATGTTGGGACATAAAGCAAACTTCCTTGTTACTTTCATTCAGAGTGTATGACTGAGACTGCATTGGGGAAAAATACTACCTGTAAATCAGTGAAGGGTGCCCCAGAATTCCATCATGTGTGAGAGATTGGAGTAGGGCTTCTGTTTTCTGATTCCAGGGATTGGTGCTTAGGGTCTTTTCTGGAAAAGCTCCATAGGCTGCTTGGTTGGGTACCCCAGAGCTCACAGAAAAGAAAAGGAAAAAATTAATGAACTAGACCAAGGAAAGGAAATCTTAACATTCTAGTGCTATCCTTTTTTTTTTTAACAGTGCAATCCCGGTGAGGACAGTGTGAAACCGAATGATTAATATAGTACCAGAAATGTCAGATTCCATGTAATGAAGTTTCGCACCTTTGAACAGCTACAGCTTGGCAGATGGCCTGTCCCTGTGCTTCAAGCATCTGTACCACGGCCCATCTCTGACATACTTTCCATAGTCTTCCATCTAAGATTCAACTTCTGCTAAATTAGGCTAAGGTATTACACTAAGTGGCAAAGCATAAGATTACAAAGTGCAAAGACGATCCCCAATAAGAAAATAGATGACCCTTGCCAGCTACACTTTGCGAAGTGCTGAAGTAGGTCATGAGGAAAGCTCCTCTACAGAGGTGAAGAACACCCCCCCTTGGATCAAATAAACACAAAGTATTGGCACAAACAAAGTCAAAAACTGGAGAGCTAGGGTGGATAGGGTGTTGGACTGGTAGATCCAGGTTCAAATCCCCATTTGACTGTGAAACTCACTGGGTGACCTTAGGCCATTCTCACTCTCAGACTAACCCACAACACAGTGTCATTAGGAGGATAGAATGCAAAGAACCATGTATGACACCCAGAACTCATTGGAGGAAAGTTGGGAGATACATGTAACCAAACAGCAGCAGCAGCAGCATAGTGTATGTGAGAAAAGGTTGGTGTACCAACATATTCTGGTTTCTGATTTTCTACCAGAGATATATTCCTTTGAAGATACAGAATAATTACCATGTTTGCCCCAAATCAGGGTTTCAAAACCATTTGGCAGCCTCAACACTTCCCACCACACCCTCCGTGTTATCAAATTTATTTATTTATACTTCTAGCTTTCCCTCCACCAAATGGCACCAGCGTGGGTTACAAAAATATCCCAATTGAAGTTAGTCCAAGGAACAATAAAAACCATAAAATAAAACCACAAAGCGGCCAATATCAGAAGAACCAAACAGCAACACAGAGCAGAGGTGCATAGCAGTGTACAGAAATGTGGGAAGACATACACTCAACCAAAGACCTGGGTAAAGAAGTGCATTGTGACCCATCATCAAAAAGTATATATTGGTGGTGCAAGACACACCTCGGGGCAGAAGCCATTCCACAGCCTGGGGACCACCAACAAGAAGGTTCTCTCTCAGGCGATGCCATTATTTGAACCTGTTTTGTTTCTAGATAGCATATGGTAATACCCTCAGCTCAAGATACTCTAAGAACACTGTCTTGTTATGAACTTGCCTAAGCTTTGAGGTCCACATTAGAAGTTCTCTTCTGTGTTCCTCAGCTGTCAAAGTTGAGGGAATGATGAAAGTGGTAGTCCAATAACATCTGAAGGCACCTTGTTGACTATCTCTAGAGTTCTCTCTCTCTCTCGATTTGCAAGTTTGCAACCAGTTTGATTTTCATAAGGAAGGAATTGTATATCCTTTCATACGGGTGTATTTTTCTTTTCTTTTCTGTATTTTGGTACAAATATAACATTCTTCTATGACAACTACCTGCCAGTCTAGCTGCCCCCCTCATCTCTAAATAAAACAAACCCTTTAAATAATATTAAACACTTAGTAGAAACTAATACGCCTTAGGGCAGGTTTTGGGGCCAACTAGCTGCTTAGAGGGTGCTTAAAGCATCAGCCCCTCTCAATCCCATTGCCCTTGTCATATAAAGTTAGCCTAGACCCTAATCCTCCCTTCCCCTCCCTGCTCCTTCCTCTCCCTCCAGCAGGACTGGGCAGAGGGTATAAAAACCCCCTTTGGATCCTGGCTGCGCCAGCCCCGGGACATAGATGACGGCAGACGCACCAGCCCTGCATTCCCTTAGGGGATTTGCTATTTTTTTTAGAGTTCGTAGAAAAATAATCAAAGTTGGGGGGCGGGAACCCCAAATCGATTTGACTTAAAAACAAAACAAAAAAGACAACCGCAAAACCAAAAGAAGCAGTTGATTAAATAAGTGAATCATGAATGGAACAGAAGGTATCAATTTTTATGTGCCTCTTTCCAACAAGACAGGGCTGGTGCGGAGCCCCTTTGAATATCCCCAGTATTACCTAGCAGAGCCCTGGAAGTACAAAATGGTGTGCTGCTACATCTTCTTCCTCATCTCCACTGGGCTGCCCATCAACCTCCTCACCCTCCTTGTGACCTTCAAACATAAGAAGCTACGACAGCCGCTCAACTATATCCTGGTTAACCTGGCGGTAGCAGACCTCTTCATGGCCTGCTTTGGCTTCACGGTCACCTTCTACACAGCCTGGAATGGCTACTTCATATTTGGTCCCATCGGCTGTGCCATTGAGGGCTTCTTTGCAACACTGGGAGGTAAGATCCACGAGGGAAGTAGTGAGCACTACTTTGTACCGAGTTAAAGGAGTGGTCCTCTTAACTCAGTATTGTCTTCATTGTCTGTCAGTGGTTCTCTAGGGGTTCAGACTCAAAATTCCCTGCCATACTGGGAGATGTCAGGGGATTGAACCTAGGATCTTTTGCAGATGCTCTAGCAATGAGCTATGGAAGCATTGCAAGGAAGCAGTGGCACATGACTAGCCAAGCGGTGGGGAGAAGCGGCATGGCTGGCTCAGCTTCTGCTGCCTATGTTGGGTTCACTTATCATCAGACATCTTGCACATGTGAACCAAAACACAGCTATCCTTAGAAATTTGTGCATCTCTGAATTTTGCAGTGCAGTTCTCCAACCAACCAAAATGTACAAAAATGTGTACGTTATGGAGAAATGCCTATAAAATGCATATATTGGTGAAAATAATTATATTGGGGAAATTGCTTACAAAAATGTGTACATTAGTCAAATACATACAAAAATGTGTTTATTAGAAGAAGTTCTTCGTGAATTTTCATGAAGATTTTAAAAAGAAAAGTGCATTGCTCCAAAAATGTACCAAACTCATTTTAAGATTGAGAAACTTAGGCAACCAAAATGGACAGTTTTGTCCATCCTGACCCATTTATGTATTTTTTTTTTATTTGAACTAGTGGCCAACTTCATGAAGCTATTTGCGTCAACTATAATTACTAATTTTTTTTTTTAAATATTTCATTATTCATCGTATCTACTGGTTCAAAGACTTGTGGTTGCTCATTTGACAAAATTCCTGCCTAAAAAGCATTGTACACACTGTGACACATATCTGTGTGCAGTCATTGTGTACGGTAATCAACACATGATTTTTCCTACATGGAGACAGTTTCCATGTAGGTTGTGTCTCAAACGATGGAAATCTGGTAGAGGCTGGTTTGTGTATATCAGTGTAACATCCTCAGGGAAATATGAAATTCCACCTGCAGTAAGGAAGGCACAGTTCCAGTGAATGAATAGAAAATGTTGTGCCCCCTAGATCCTTTCTGTTTGCAAGGAACGTTTTACTTAAGCATTCCTACTGACAGGAGATTATTGTTTCACATGGAAAGAGAAGCGGTCCAACAAATAAATTCCAGTGCACTAAACTTGCAGTAGGAGATGTTGCCATATGCTGACAGGAGACTCCAGCCCATAGGCTTCCAACAGCATAAGATTGAATTGGGTATCTCTTCTGGCAAATGTATTGGAGTTCATTTAAGAACTGCTTCTCTGCATTGCAAGTTGCAAGAGAACATTATTACCCTATGGAAACCATTTGCCGATGGAGTCTATGTGCTCTGTTGTTTCTCTGCCATCTGGAGAGAACACAAACTAAGCAATGCTGAATCTTTGGCCCTTACTCTCTGGAATGAATATTTCAGGGATAAAACAGCTCCTACTTGGGCACATGGAACAAAGCCCATGCCTAGTTCAACCACACTGACATCACTCCAGGGCTAAACCAAGCCAAGTTTTAATATAGTTAACATATACTAGGGTTGCCATATTTCAAAAAGTGAAAATACAGACACAAAAGTTGTTGAAAAAGGAAAATCGGCAAAAACAACACTGACGACATGGGTTGCCGTACATCCCGATCTCACCAGACATTTTATCTATTTTTGCCTGGACACTGCAGTATTCCAGCTATGTCTGGGAAATTCTGGATGTATGGCAACCCTATAAGGGTGAGGAAATCTCTACGATCTTTATTATTATGTCAAGCCTGTGTGCGTGCAAAAAATAAAAACACACATTTATTTTCAATGTGCATGCCATAAAATATATACAATTCTTTATGTTTGGAGATGCAGGTAGGCAATGGGGAGGTATTCAACTGAAGGCAAATTTACCATTGATAAATGAAAACCTATCCCCTAACTAGATTATGAATCAAGTCAGTGTTGTTATTTCCTCTGCTTGAGAAGTATCTCATGTCCTGCAAATTTCTCACATTTTGCCTAATGCTCAAATAGATGAAAAATGTCACTTCTTATTCCACTGGACACATCTCCAAAAGAGGCTCTGAAAGGACACAGCTGGTGCTGCATTATTCTCTGCACTGCCAAAGAAAACACTCAGCGCACATCTGCATGATGCTCCTTATGGGAATTGGAGGCAATCATGTAGAACACGGTCCTTAAAATCCGCATGGTTTGGGGGGCTTTTCCTGGCATTGGGTTCCCTCTATATCACTAAAAAGGGCAATTGCAGGACCAAGCTGGGTTGTGCCATGTGCTTCCCTTCCTGCTGTGGTCCTGAGAGGAAAACACCAGCCTGCTAATCATATGTTGCTTTTTCAGAATATTAAGGCTAATACTTGAAAACGGAAGGTTTCAATTGTTTTCTACATAGACAAAAAATCTAGTTACAAGTAGGAACTTGTAAATTTCACTGATTTCAATGCGAAGAAGTGAAATCTGTGCTTAATCTGTGCTTACGAGTAGGAACTTGTAAATTTCACTGATTTCAATGCGAAGAAGTGAAATCTGTGCTTAATCTATATTACTGCAAAGCTGGAGCACAATCAGCTGATAAAATAATAACTAACATGGACATATCCTAAGATAAGCTATACATGCCAGCCTTTTTAAAATAAACAGTCCAAACCATGATCATGGTTTTGGAATGAGATAAGGCAGTTGACATTTGGAGAAAAAATAGTGCTGTGCCAGGGATGAGCATGTCTTGTGTGTTTCAGAGGGACTGAGTTTCAGGGGGAAAGCCAGGACATAGGTACAGATGGAAGCTAACAGTAAACAGGCAGGGAGCAGGGAAGAGATGTGGCAAGATACAGAGAGAGTCAAGGAAAAGCATGGCAAGAGCAAGAGAAGAATGAGCAAATGGATTCAAGGCACAGCCAAGGTGCTCCAGTTGGGAGCCATTGAACAACCTGCCAGTAGCATCTTCCTGCTTCCTGGAGTCAAAGGGAAGCCCAGGTGCTCTCAGGTGAGCTCACATTCCAAGATGGGGTGAGGCCATGGAGCAATTCCTGTGGGCACAACTAAACATGACATGAGAGAGCCATGATCAAGGCTTTATGTGAACCTTTGAAAAAAGTGAATACCTGCCTAGTAGGAACATTCAGATTGGGACTGCAGTACTGGCATTGAGGCTTGCAACGCAATTCCATGTGGTTTTTCTGAACTAAAAATCAGCACCCTCTATCCAACATGCTATTTGCTGTCTGAGAGAAAAAACATAGCTACCCCACATCTTTCTTATTTATTTGTATTCAAAATGTTTATTCCATGTTCTTTAGACAGAAACACTCCTAGACGCTGATAAAAATAACATTTGAAACACGTATGATTTCCACCACAGGAAAAATAGCTTGGGGGAAGGGAGCCATTTTATTGGGGAATCTGCATGGAGGCAAAAATATACCAGATCACCATCCTCCAGCTGCTATTAGTTCTTTAAAAAATCTGTGGGAGATCCCAATCTTGGATCTCCTGGTGGGTCAAACCTAATTGTGTCTAAAGATGGTAGAGCTCCATCTGGTTCGTGCTGATTTGGTTTGGAAATAACCTAAATGATTCTCTCTGTAATCAGGAAACAGATCATCTAATTTCAGATCCAATCTGAATTTGCCATTTCCCCCACAGCTGCAATCTTTGAAAGTAGTCTCTGTGCAAACAGATGGAGATAAGGGTTTCCTTCTATTTGCATATCGGCTGCTTTCAAAGACTGCACCTGGAAAAACTGCTGCTTTGGGGATAAAAGCCCTCTCTCATTAGGAGATCCATGGGGCAAGAGGGTTCCTTGAAGGGGATAGATGTTTATGTCACACCAGCAATTTTCCAGGATGCAGCCCTTCTAAGCAGGGTTAAGCCAGGAAGTCCTCTCAGCTAATAGTTTAATCCAAGCCAGAGAAGATTCACCTCTTCTTTGTGCTACTGAAGTCCTTTTTTGGGCCCAAGTTTGGCAAAGTTTATTGGCATCTTTAGTTGTGCTGTGAGAATGGCGAAGCAGTTAGAAGTCATATTCAATGCCCTGTACAAACCATCCCCAAAAAACAACAACAGAAAAAGGGAAATAAGATAATATAGCCTGGGGCTTCTATCAGTATTTTTGTGATGAAGAATGGGCTCAATGAGACACCCAGTAGGAGCTCTGAGACTAAAGAAGTGACATTAAGAGCATCAAGAAAAGTCACTTGTTTCTAGCTTGGGCTGGGTAAAAAAATCTCTGCAATAATAAATGTGCAACTTCAAAGGGTTCCATGTGTTTCTTTAGGAGCTGCGTTTAGCCTGACGATAGCCCTCCTCCCTTATCCATGTAGTGAACAGGGGTGATTGCAAGGCTGCTACTGGCTACACAGATGGGTTTTCTCTGTCAGTACTGCAGGATTCCAAGGCAAAAGTAATTCCCTTTCACAACATGTCAGCATTTGTTGCGCTTCTGGCTATGTGCTGTAGTAGTCAAACTGGAATCTGGAGCAGATTCACGAGTCCCAGAAATGTAACTGAGATTTGAATGCCCCGCCGCCTCCCCCAATGCTTTTCAAAACAGAATCAGTGCATGTTGACTTTACTCACCCATGAATGAGCAACCTCATGTAATTTAGTTGGCTAATCCAAACCAGCCAAGCTGGAACCCTAGCGAAATCTTCACTATCAGTTGGCAATGGTTGTGGTGTGCCTTGTTTGTTGGTCGGTAGATGTAGGACGTCTCATCACACAAGGAGGGATTTTAGTGCCCATTTTAGTGCTGCAGTTAAGCCACAATTTTTGACCAAATTCTACACTTCTGTTTAATGCATCAAACTTGCCCCAGAATTTCCTGATGTGCACCCGCCCTCACATTTTCTCTTGCTTTGAAATAAATGAGTTGTTTATAAATGAGCATTGACAAGCATTCCCTACATCAAGAGAATAATCCAAATGGTGATTATAAGGTCCCAATAGGATTATATGAAAAGGATGTGCGTATATTCAAATAATTACAAAACAAGGCACATGCATGTTCATGACGCAACAGGAAATTGTGAAGCATCACTTTACACTTTACACTTAAGACAAAAATTTGTCCTAGGTCCACAGGAAAACAACACTGTAAGTGAGATACCATCTCAGGCAGGGGGAGGAAATCATGTTATATTTCAAATGGAGAGTGAAAAGAACAGTCTAGATATAAAAGCGGCAGCTGCCTTTCCAACATGAAACCCTGCATACTTATCACTGGATAATCACATGCTGGGGGCATTAATAGGCTTAAGGCACAGCCTAGGCTCAGATAATCCCCTGAGTTTTGATTACATTTGATAAAGAGATTAATAGGCCCATATGCTCATGTACACAATCAAAGGATGATAATACTTATACCACTGTTGGCATTTTGTCAGGAGCTTTTGCATCGCCATGCCGTGCACCACAGGTCTTGCAGACCATCTTCCATTAAATGTGGACTCAGATGATGTAATGTAAACTACAAGGCTCCCGATTCCCCATCCTTCACTGAAACCAGCACATCATGCTTCTGTGCTATCTTAAAAAGACCTGAATTAGGCAAACCCTCACAAAGGGCATCCAACCAACCTATATACATTAATTGCATTTCATTGCTTTGTGTTTTTCTCTCCCCCTTATTACTTGCAGGTCAGGTTGCTCTCTGGTCACTGGTTGTTCTTGCCATAGAGCGCTATATCGTGGTCTGTAAACCAATGGGAAACTTCCGCTTCTCTTCCTCCCATGCCTTGATGGGCATTGCTTTTACTTGGGTTATGTCCCTATCCTGTGCATGTCCACCCCTTTTTGGTTGGTCCAGGTAAGTAAAAATGATAGTTTTGCATTATATACAACACTGGGGTACTATGTTGTACTGACTAAATACTGAAATCCAATGACCGGTAGTTAGGAACTGACTAGCTAAGAAGTAATTATGGGAACAGCTATAGACTCGATCTCTTTTCATAGGCATCAATCCCATTTACTTACCAAGGCTGGCACTTGGAGTACTGTACAATATCAGATATGGAAGCAGAATTGAACAGAAATTTTGGGAATGCCTGCACACACAAGCCTGTATGTGCAATTTCCTTATATTCACATACGAATGAGTAAATTTGAATGCATTTCCATGCATTCTGGCAAAAGTTCATCATAGAGATGAAATCACCCTGTTCTAGATTAATCTGGGGACCTGTTGTATGATGATTCTATCAATTTCTGACATCAACTTCCAAATATTTCCCTCCCTATGGAATGCCCTCCCATCAGATGTCAAGGAGATAAAGAACTACACAACTTTTAGAAGATATCTGAAGGCAGCCCTGTATCAGGAAGTTTTTAATGTTTGAATTTTATTATGTTTTTATATGCGTTGGAAGCCACCCAGGGTGGCTGGGGCAACCCAGCCATATGGGTGGGGTATACATGATAAAATTATTATTATTATTAAATATCTCCATGGGGTCTCACTCATGGCAGACAACTGAGGCATCTCAGTTTGAGTCATCATTCTCAGTAGAACCACTAATTCTCTAATATCAGGCCCACTCACTCATGCAGTGAGAATGTGGGTGAGTTGAGTGGATAAGGGCAAAGTCAGTTTGGCATGCCGTAAAATTGGTTATATGAGGTCTTCACAAGTCACCCGGAGTCTTCTAAACTTTCCACTATTTAGTCTGAGAAGCCCAAGCCCTTAAGTGAAGGGGGTGAAGCACCCGGGAGAGGAGAGATTCTCTGTACTAAGCTGAGAGTTTAGTGGAAGTGCTGGCTGCTTGTAATGCAATTGTCTAATGCCATGTCCCACCTGCTGTGCTCCATTTAACAGCTGCTTTCTCTTCTGGAGTGCCCGAGGCACATTTGTGCATGCATGCTTGCACATGTGCCCGGACACACACACAGCATCTCTTTTAAGCACACGTGCACACAGAGACCATCTATTTCTACTCCAGCAGCTGCTACAAATTAACCTTAGCTTTAACGAAAAGATTGTGAGTCCTATTTTAACAGCCTTGAACCATTCAGTAGATCCCTATGCATTTGTGTCATTCTCAGAGTCTGTAGGTTTCCTCATGTAAGTAAGGGAAGCTGAGGTCATGCTTTTCAGATGCGGTGCTTAATCAATTGCCATTTACTTCTGAACAGCAATAATGGGAAGGAGCTGGGTGATAATCTGCATTGGGTCACCATGCCGGGCATCCTGAATTGCCTTAGTATTTGCTTACAGTTCAATGGAAAGACAAGGGATTTCTCGACCATAGAAGGCTGTCTATTCAGTATCTCCATTTCCAGCCTTCCAACACAGAAATATTCCCCACGGCTTCCATTTAGCTTCCCAAATCCAAGGTTTGCACCAACAAAGTAAAAGCAGTGACTCACACACCTAATCTTTTTCTCCACACACAATGGCCAGGATCCACAGATAGCGTGTAGACATGCCCAAGGGGTGCCCAGCAAGATGACTGACTTTTCCCCCCTTTGAACAGCAGCCTTTGTGCTGCATCACAAATACCTTTGGAATTTCATCTTCGTTTCAAAAGCAGTTTGCCATGGGGCATTGGAGGCCTGCTGTTCGAGAAACACAAATTCAAGCCCTTTTTGAAAAAAGGCAATAGTTTGTGTGCCCCCCCCCCAATCTAAGCTGAACAGTTTTCTTCTACATCTGACTGTTCCTGGTCCTTAGTATATGGAAACACAAAATCAGTAGCCATTACCGAAAAACATCACCATTGGTTGCAGCGGCCTAGCGTGAGTTGCCAGTACCCAGGGCCATGGGGGGGATGGGACCTGGCAGAATATGCATGTGTTCATCTGCCTAATGGCACCTGCACCACCCAGGAGATTGCAGCCACAGAGATAAGAAAAGAGAAGTTGTTCAGTTGTCTGGAGAGGTCACTTCTTGGTTCCCATGGAGAAGCCATTTTCAACGGACCCCAGAGATGGAAGCACATAGCTGTATTGAGGCAGCAGTGGGTGTTGAAATTTTGTGCCTCAAAGAATTTTTGGCCCGGGGGAACTGCCCATTTGTCCCCCCAATGGTGGTAAATCTTAACTGTAGTCCTGGACATACTGGTGAATTTTCGTAATTTTCATGGAGTGCTAATGGTATTCAGGTCAACAGACTTCTCCCATACGTACAAGTGGAAAGTATCAGTATTTAATAGATTAGTGCCTTATCAAGCAGTAATGCTCTAGCATGTTCTCTTATTATTACACACTATGTTACAGACAGCTCAAGTGAACACTTAAGACTAGGCTTCCACAGCTCTGCTTCCAAAGCATTGTTTATAATTCTATTTACAACTTAGCTGTGTGCTACTTAGGTATAAGGGCCTGGCAAATGGGCACTTCGATACTCCCCTGCTCCACTTCCTTCAGCAGCTGCAAATTACAGACTCCTTAGAGTTAGCAGTGCCCTCAAGGACCCACATAATCTCTGTTCCCTTCCTCATCTGCTTGCCACAACGCGATCAGGTGTCTGACAAGTTCAACCACACGCACTCAGCTGCGCAGAGATTAGACTAAATCGATAGTTCCCTGTGGGAGGCAGCGAGCGTCACAACAAACTGATGTTATACATCCAACTGCAACATGCCGGCTTGGAGCGCATTGGGAATGTGTTCAACTCATTTGTTGCCTCCTTCCAAGTGAATATACATGATGGCATGGCATTGTCCCTGTGAGACTGGGAGCAGGAGGCACCGGGTCCCCCAGAGAATAAAGCCGGTGATCCCTGCATGTGGTGTCATTGCTTGAATATGACAGTGTTCCCTAGACATTTTAATTAATCATAAGACTTTCAGTTGATGACTAGATCAGATTTGCCTGTTTTCTATTCTTTTTCTATTCTTTTCATTCATTCAATGTATTTATTTAGCAAATTTTTGTATACCACTTGATTGTACCACCCTATAAATGAAACATAAAAATTCTTGATAAAAACAGTTAAAAGCAGGCATTTAAAAACATTCAAAGATGTTTAAAATCAACACTAGCTAGAAAGAGATAAAACACATGTAACTTATACCGATGAAATTCAATGCAGCATATATGCATGGCTAATGAAATCCCCCTGCGTAAGAGGAATTTCCCTCCTCTCTTTTCCTCTGTGCTCCCTAAACCTGTTTCAGTTCTGACTCTGCCGGCTACTGGTTTTGGTTCCACCTACCAATAGCATGTGGACCTCCACAGATCACCGTCAAGGGAATGTGGTTTTTGACAGAAAAAGGTTGCCCACTCTTGCTTTAGAGTAAGCAGGAGGTGGTTATATATCACTGGATGTACAGTGGTACCTCAGGTTACAGACACTTCAGGTTATAGACGCTTCAGGTTACAGACTCTGCTAACCCAGAAATAATACCTCTGGTTAAGAACTTTACCTCAGGATGAGAACAGAAATCACACGGTGGCAGCGGGAGGCCCCATTAGCTAAAGTGGTGTCTCAGGTTAAGAACAGTTTCAGGTTAAGAACGGACCTCTGGAACAAATTGAGTTCTTAACCCGAGGTACCACTGTACCTCCTTTGTCAAATCATCTCCTGCCCAAAAATTCTGGAGACACAACTGATCTCGGAGAGAGGCACCAGGTGAGCAATCTTCCAGAAAAACACTATGGTCCCTTACAGTGGTGCCCCGCAAGACGAATGCCTCGCAAGACGGAAAAACCGCTAGACGAAAGGGTTTTCCGTTTTGAAGTTGCTTCGCAGGACGAATTCCCCTATGGGCTTGCTTCGCAAGACGAAAATGTCTTGCGAGTCTTGAGATTTTTTTTTCGCTTTTACCCCCCATTATCTAATATGCTAAGCCTTTAATAGCCTTTAATAGCCTTTTAGCAGCTAATACCCTAAGCCTTTAAGCCTTTAATATCCGCGAAACAGCTGATAGCGCTAATAGCGCTAATCCGTCAATGGGCTTGCTTCGCAAGACGAAAAAACCGCTAGACGAAGACTCTTGCGGAACGGATTAATTTCGTCTTGCGAGGCACCACTGTATTAGCCTACGATGAATATAGCCCAGGACTTCTCTGGGTTGGATGGAAGTGCCTGGAAAGAACTGTGTGCTGGAAGTGGAACTCAAAGTTCACACTAAAGGATAGTGGATGAACATGTCTGAGACCAGGTCGAAAGCGACTATGGAATGCTGCAAGAATCTCTGGTGCATCTCTGAACTGTTGAAGGGAGATGTAGAAGGGAGTGCAAAGACAGGAAACTGCTAGAGAAACTTCACAGAAAAATATTCTGGAATTATAATGACTTCAGTTAATGCTATCAACTGGGAATCAGTGGAATCATCCTGAAACCATTTGCAGGCTTTCTTGCTTCCCTCATAATGTCTTAGAGGCTGCAGATAAGTGAGCGCCTCCACATTAATGTTGAAATTTAGTTAATGGCTACTTAGGGAGGTGTGCAGTTGCTCTGAGAAAAGTTGTTAGTTTTAACTACATTCTTCGTGCTTCCTTTGAAACCCTCCGAAGTTTCACCTCAGAAAGAACCTCCAAATTTAGCTGACAATTTGACTTATAGGTGAAATTTGGTGGCAACAACTCTACTTGAGCCAGTGACTCTTGTACTGATCCAAAGGCTTTGTGTAAGATAAACATCTTTACTGACTTGTTTTTGTTGTTGTTCACAGATATATACCTGAGGGGATGCAGTGTTCCTGTGGCCCAGACTACTACACCCTCAACCCTGATTACCACAACGAGTCCTACGTTGTCTATATGTTTGTCATCCACTTCGTTATCCCCGTGGTGGTCATCTTCTTTTCCTATGGGCGGCTCATATGTAAAGTCCGAGAGGTAGTGTATCTCCCTCCACACTCAAGGTATGAGGAGGCATAGGCCAAGAGCAATGAGGTGTACTCTGGGGGTACTCTCAGGGATGCTGCAGGCTGGTTCCACCTTGATGGGCGGTCATAGAGATAGCTGGGCATGACTTCACTGTTATATATGCATCTAGGTTTTATGGAGGCTCTATAAGGGAGACAAATGGGAAGGCTACACACTTTGAATAGGCAAGATCACAAGTCATTTGTAATATGTAATAGTGGAATTTGTATATCCACAAGGGTCTCCGAATTGGGGACAACTTTATAGGTGCACCTGGTCTGTTTTGTTGCTTCTCAGGCCACATTCACACCATACATATAAAGCAATATCATACCACTTTAGACACCCATGGCTTCCCCCAGAGAATTATGGGAGAGTTGTTAGGAGACCCTGATTTCTCCCCACAGAGCTACAGTTCCCAGAATTCCCTGTGAAACAGGATTTACTGTTAAACCATTCTGGGAATTGTAGTTTTGTGAGGAGAATAGGGGTCTTCAAACAACACTCAGAACCCTTAGCAGACAAGAGCTCCCAAAATTCTTTGGGAAGCCAGGACTGTTTAAAGTGGTATCATAAAGTGTGGTGTGAATGTGATCTGAGCCCCAACTATTCTAGGCCTCTGGTCTCATGGAAGGGCCAATTCAGACATTAGCCTCTTACATGAGGAAATGTTTGAAACTCATTTTCCCACCACTTGTTTTGACCACTGGAAGAATATAGGAGATATCTCAGAGAACTTACCTCCCCCAACCCAAAGGAAGTGGGGACTGTGACCAATTCACAGCCACAGCTTCCACTTGCTTTAACCAAAGGGAGAAACCAGCAGATAGACTTCTTCTGGTTGCCTGGACAAATGGAATCTGGAGTGGGGAAAGAGAAGATATGAGCACCAACATCCACTTCCCTGCAGGGAAGGACAAATGATGGAACAGCTTTCAGTTGCCAGTCCTGTTTTGGCTACTGGAGGACAACAGTCTACTGCCTTCTTCTGATGTTCAAGGCAACTGCAACTCATCTCTGAGGGTGATGTTGAAATAGCTCCATAGCTGCTTGGCTGGAGAGAGCCCTTTTGAGTCCCTGTCTTCTCTTGCACCCCCAGGCAGCTGCTCAGCAGCAAGAGTCTGCAAGCACCCAGAAGGCAGAGAAAGAAGTTACCCGCATGGTGATCTTGATGGTGCTAGGGTTTATGCTTGCCTGGACCCCCTATGCTGTGGTGGCATTCTGGATCTTCACCAACAAAGGGGCAGACTTTTCTGCTACGCTCATGTCAGTGCCTGCCTTCTTCTCAAAGAGCTCGTCCCTCTACAATCCCATCATCTATGTCCTCATGAACAAACAGGTGAGATTCCCCCCGAATCGGGAAATGAACCCGACTTCCCCTCCAATAGACTCCATTGCCAACTTCTCTGCACTTAAAACATTGCATATTCCTCTCTTAAATAATAACCTCAACCCCAGGTGGTGTTAGAAGTCTTCATTTGCAGGTTTCGGACATTACGGTTCTGAATGTTAATATAGTTCTCTTGATAAATGTCTTTGTCAAAGGGGGAACATAAAAACAATTAAATCTCAGTGGCTATCAGTTAATGTCAATTCCTGCTAACCAAGTCCAAAGTCCAAGTGGATGCAATAGTGTATCTTATTCTGCTACATGAGTTACTTGGAATGTCATACTGCCATTGAGTTGCTACTCTGAAAACACATATTTGTGATGACGGTTAATATGCCTAGAGTTGACAGCCCAACGAGGCATGCAGAGACCCTCTGCTTTCTACCAGAATATCTCCCTTGCAGCTGAGCTTCTCTGTGTGGTACACATTAATTGTTCTAGAGCATCTCTGTTCTCTTTTTCTCTTTCCAGTTCCGTAATTGCATGATCACCACAATCTGCTGTGGCAAGAACCCCTTTGGGGACGATGATGTCTCATCAACTGTATCCCAAAGCAAAACTGAGGTATCCTCTATCTCCTCCAGCCAAGTGTCACCTGCATAGGCTATGGACAGTTTGACCTTTGGTGACCTGCCACACTTTGGAACCAGGAAATGGAAATGGGCTCACTCAACTGAGCTCTGGTTTATGAGTTCCTCTCACCCAATTTTTCTTTTATGCACAAATGTTGTATGCCATACACATACAGGAGTGCACAGTCTAGCATAACCCTTTTGATGCTATCTACTTGTAATCTACATAATTCCCTCTCTGCAATAGTTGTGTGCATCCTATAACCATTTGTGCAAGCATTCCTCTGGGCAAATACCTGCCCATGACACCTGGGATAGCTCAGTCAGTACAGCATGAGATTCTAATCTCAGGGTCCTGGGTTCCACGTTGGGCAAAATATTCCAGCATTGCAGGGAGAGGGGGGCACACTAGATGACTCTGTAGATGGACCCTTCCAACTTTACGATTCTATGATTCTATGTATTCAGCACACATTTGTGGAAATGGATCTGCTCCTCATCACATTTATTTGTGTTGTTTGTACATGAGAACTGCAGTTTGTACAAAGGCCCTGTCGACTCACACCTCCCCGCTTGACACACAGTCAAAACAAAGCTTGTCTGCTCACTTGCACAGACAAAGAAAAGGAAATAAAATGTTCTCCATGTCATTGGATGCTGATGATTGGTGGTGGTGGTGGTGGTGGAACTGACTTGTTAGGTCAAGGCACACTGGGGTCAAACTTGGTCAAACAAATGTGCATTACAGTGCAGGGGTGTGGTATTTGGCCAAAATGGTGAAGCTTGGCATGCAGCTCAGCTCTGCCTTCTTAGCAATGCTTAATGCTTTAAGTGCTATGTGCAACTGCCTCCATTTGAAACAAAGCCAGAGAAGATGTCCGTATTGAGACTGACATTAGGAATCAGCAGCTCCCGGCTACTGTTCTTATAGGAAGATTGCTAGATCACTTAAGGGGCCACACAGGTTCATTTCTAGGTACTGAGTTTTTTTAAATGAACAAATGCAGTAAGCCCACAACTTATGTACATTTAACTTGTGTGCATTTAACTTTGCACAGTTGGCATTTTTAAATAAATAAATAAATAAGGGGTGGAAAGGAAGCCAGTGACTGGGAAAAAAGCCTTTGGCATTCTACCTGCCATTGTGCCCAATGTGTTTTGACTATATGCAATGTTGACTTTAGGTGCTATCCCCCAAATGCAACCCCCATGTAAGTTGTGGGCTTACTGTAATCGCTTCTGCTTACAGAATGCAGTTATTCTTAGGTTTTAACACTTCTCCAGATTTTGAGATGCAGTTGTTCACTAAAAAAGAAACCCAGAGAAAAATATATACCAGAATGTGTTTAAAAATGCCTATTTAAGGTTGAAATGTATCCAGAAATGTGTGTCTTGTGAAAAAAAGGTTATATGTGAACTTTTGTGCAGGTTTTTAAAAATGCAAATTGATGCAGAAATGGATCACATGTGATTTATGAATGAATTTATGAAGGAATGCATGTGTTACTAACATGGAGCAGAAACAGACTTATCCATCCATACTTTTTACCACTTCACCATGGAACTAAACTATGTAGCACAAGGGAAGGCTAGAATATCAGATCAAGAAGCAATCTCTGCATTTCATTCAACAGTGGTTACAGCTAAGGAATGGTATGATTTGCTTCTTGTGTGCTTTGAGGACAAAGATTGGAACAACCACCTGAGCTGTAGGTTCAGCTTTCCATATGTTCACCAAAGTCTGCTGGAAGGGAGGAAAGGAGGGAAAAGGGTGAATTATCACAGTGGTTGCTTTTAACCCAATGGAACAACGCTTTGTTCCTGGATAGTTGCTTTTAGTTCAGGGTCTCCCAACCTTTCTGGGACCAAAGTCACATGTGGCAATCCGATAAAGTCATGGATACCATGACAAAATGGCTGCTTTGGGAAGCAGCCTGGTTATAATATTTTTTGTGTGAGAAACTAAAAAAAGGCAAAGCATCTAGCCCAAACAAACAAAAAACAGGTAGCCCCCCAATAAACAGACAAATTGCCCACACCCCAAAACAGGTAACACACATACACACTAAAAAACAACAATAGGCAAGACACCTCTGCCTCAAAAGATAAGGTACCCCCAAAGAAAACAAAAACAAGCATCCTACAACAAATAACACAACACAACACACAGACATGGTAGCATCACCCAAGCTTACCAGGCCAGGTCCCTCCCACAGAGTTTTAGACAAGAGAGGCTGGAAAGCAAAGTACTGGCCTCCAGCTACTTCACCTTATTTTACTATAAAAATAGGGAAAGGAAAGGAAGGGAAGGTGGCAGGGTTGCTGGAGGCCTACACATCTCTTTCAAGCCAGCCTAGATGCTACCCAAGGTAAAAGAAAACAAAACAACAACAAAGTAAAAATATTGCCATAAAAACCAAGAAGACAGGTAGCTTTGCCCTTTGTCACTATCCGTGCTTAACTTGCTTTATTGACTGATTAAAGACATCATCTTCACTCAAGCTGTTTGTTACTCACTGAATCCTATTAGAAGGCACAAACACATTGTTTCTAGGAGGAAGAAACACACTTCATATTTGTATTTTCCTTGTGGTGGTGGGCAGGTTCCAGAGTCCATTCCAGCTGGACCCAAAGATGACAAGCCTAGCTTCTTTGTATTCTGAATCCTCTTGAAGGCACACGTTGTATGCAAATTATGAAAGCCTCAAAGGTTTTTTGAACTGAAATTTTCTCTTTCTGGAAGGTATTCAGTGTGTTTCTGAAGTTACACAAGATTCAGGGGCTATTGTCAAGGCATCCATTTGTATCGATAAAACATGGAGCAATGAATCCAGAACTGTCTCTTTCACTCCTTTCTAAGTACAAGAAAATGAATGCAAAGTCATCTGAGTTGCGCATTCTTGCTGTAAGTGTATGGATGATGGAAATCAATATACATATCACTGATAAATCATTATAACAAATGGAACTGTACAGAGTTCTGAGTCTTGCACAAACCTCTATATCCTCAAAATGGCACCATAGATAGCTTTTTGTCTTGAAACCTGTAAATATTTGCTTGCAGGCTTTGAAATCTTTCTGGTTTTTTGTTTGACAACAAGCTCTTTATCCCTCCCTTCCCACCCCCAAGGCAGAGGAAGCGTCTTTTGCTATGACATTTGGTTTATGAGCCGAACGGACTATAAAGGGCGGAATGACTACTGTGGCAATTTTCTGTACATATTTTATAAATAACTTATATCAGTGATGACTTTGTAAAGTTGGAAAGTAGAGATTGGAAAAAGAGAGAGAAAAGAATAAACAGCAGCAGTACAAAGGAGGAGAATGTTTGCCTCTTTTCTATGCATGTCAAGAAATAACATTTTTTTCTTTATTTTGTTGAGTTTGTTTTTTATACCCCTTTCCAGACAATTATTGTCTTGCAAAGCAGCTCATGTCAGTAAAGAAAGAGGCCCCATCTGCTGTACACATTTCAAGCAGTACCATAACATTCTAAACAGATAATCCCAGAAACTGTAGTTTGTTAAGGATGCTGGGAGTTGTTAGGAAACTCTTATTTGCCCTACAGAGCTACAATTTCCAGAGTCGTTTAACAACCAATCTATCTTTCCAGGGAGCTCTGAGAATTGTAGCTCTGTGAGGAGAATTGGAATCTCCTAACAATTCTCAGCATCCTTAACAAACTGCTCTTCTCAGGATTATTTGGGGGGAAAGCCATGACTGTTTAAAGATGGGGCCTGCCATCAGACTTACAACAAAAAAACAAAGGGGAGGGGGAAATCGCACACGGTAAAGGAAAAGTATCTCCAAGGCCAGAATGAAGATGTAAGCTTCAAGTGGGCATCTATATCCAGTTTGGGACAGACTGATCTTCCCTTGCTGGTGTTCTTGCTTGAAAAGCAGTTGGTTCCAATGGTTCCTTGGGCTGATGAGTGAGGTCCTATTGTCCTTTCGCCTTGTTTCTGCAATTTGAATCTTTCAGCTGTTCAATCCCTGGACAACATCTGGTGGGCAAGACACTTTTGTGGATGAGCTGAATGAATCCATACTAGGAATATATTTCCAAAGCTTGAGTTTTCAGATCTTCTGCAGAGTATGCATGATGTGAACAAATATATTACATATACAGTGGTACCTCTGGTTAAGTACTTAATTCGTTCCTGAGGTCCGTTCTTAACCTGAAACTGTTCTTAACCTGAAGCACCACTTTAGCTAATGGGGCCTCCCACTGCCTCTGCACTGCTGGAGCAAGATTTCTCTTCTCAGCCTGAAGCAAAGTTCTTAAGCTGAGGTACTATTTCTGGGTTAGTGGAGTCTGTAACCTGAAGCGTCTGTAACCTGAAGCATATGTAACCCGAGGCACCACTGTACATGCACTATACATATATTGCTTGATTTTTGGTTGAGAAAAAACACCTATTTGAGCCACTTTTACTGCAACCAACTAAAAAAGGGTCTCTCAGAGAGGAGCAAACCCACCCACCCACCCACCCACCCTTCTTATTGGGGATTGAAGAGACTGGAGGAAGTTGGTTTTAAGTCTGTCATTGCAATTGTGGATTAAAGTATTAGCCAGTCACAAGTATTTTGGAGACAGAAAGAAGGGAGCACCATCACAATACTTGAATAGATTTGGTCTGTACCACCCTCAGATTGCATCAGAGGAAGAGGTCGCACAGTTTCACCTTCCAGGTGATGGGCAAATTAGAGCTTGCTTGGAACTTTAACCACTAATGGACAGTTTTGGCAGGGACAGTGAGTTCATTGGATATGTGGAGTGCTTGCCTTTCCCAAAGGAAACAGCCAACTTGTGAAGGAGGCTATGCTGTTATGTATAAGATATTGGAGGATTGCACTGGAAAGAAAATGGCAGTGGATGGACCAGTGTATCCACCCTGATCTCAGTGGAAAATGTGGGTACAACTGCAGTAATTAAATTACTCCATCTTAAAAGGACTTGTAATCTGAATATCTGCTAGATTCTTCAGTGTGCATATGAGGTTGCCTTTTGTGTTGTGTCATTGCTAGGAT